TAGAAACCGTTGTTGGGATAGAAAGAATTTGCCTTAAGAAAGCGCTAGGCTTCTAGATGTCACTAATTACTCAACCAAGTTACATGATAGAAAAGTACTAAGTTTATATATAAAATTATTCCTATAAAAATAATTACATCAATATATAAGCCCTAATTACCAACGATGATTCAAAATGTGATAAAAATATTATAAAACCTTAAATATCCTTAAGATGAAATCATTCCAACTTTCAATAGTGTATATCTCATAATTTAATTTTTCAAATAAACTAAAATTTTATATAAAATATTGATATACTTTAAAAAACTACTATGAATGTAAATTTAAATTGTCAATCCAATTACAAAGAGGCCTCAATTTAGAGTTTCTTGTAATTAGTAATATAAAGTAGAAAGAGCAAGAACAAGAATAAAAGAAGAAAAATACAAAAAACAAGTGAAATAAGTGAAATCAAGCAATTGTACACTACAAAACTAGTCTTAGTATGTTCATTGAATTTTTACTTAGTAAAAAGTATGAAATAAAAATTAAAAAATATGTTTTTAAAATTTTAATTTTTTAATCATTTTAATGGTATAAGATACATTTAAATCCAAGTTATAATGAGTAAGTTTTGAAGGTTTAAAAAATAACAAGTACATAAATAAAAAATTAAGTAAATAATTTTTACCTTAAGAATAATTTGTTTAAGAAATCAAGAATTTGAGCCTCATCAAGGTTCACAAGTAATGTATATGGATGTCTAAGAGAGGCTATGAGGCCTTAGTCTTATCCTCCTAACTATCTTCAAGATGCTACAACCCATATGGGACTTGTGCACTTCCCTTCTTACAAAGACTATATTAGCTACAGGTCCTCCTATTTTCTATTAGTAAAACCAATAATTTTATATTTTTAATGTCTCCATAGTATTTAAAAACATCCAATTAGCCAAGGGATATTGAATGGCCTTCAAATTTTATTCCATTTCTTCATAATAGCTTCCAAAGTTATAAAAATTTATTTTTATAAAAATCTTAGAAATTACTCTAAAAATTCCTAAAAAAACTCTAAATAAATTCGAAAAAATTATATAATATTTTTATAATATTGAAATGACTTTGAAGCTATATTTTCTATCTTAAATATTTTTTATAGTAATAAAATTAATTTAAATCTACTATAAATCTTACTTTCTATATAAATAACTAAAAAGATATGATATTTTTTTATACTTTTTTTAGCTACTAACTAAAATTTATAGTTTTTTATAAGTAATATATATAAATAAAAAGCCAATATAAATATTTACCTTAGTAAATACTCGTCAATTCTCAATAATAAATAAAAAATACTAAATCAACTAAGATAATTACCTCTAAGACTTACTAAGACTCTAATTTTACAACTAATATTCTAATTTTCTATTTATCTAAATATTTCTATATTATTCACCAAATATTGTGGTTCTAAGTAATTTACATGTATATTTTTATTTTTAAATAATTAATGAGATAATTTGATGACTAACAATTATAACAATAAATTTCAATTATAAATTCATTACAATATGGTGTTGTGGTTCGGCTACTATATGAAAATAATGTAATTATATACTTAATAAATAGTTTACTAAATAACATAGTGAGAGCCATGTTAGTAGATTTTAGTTGGTTATAGAATATAATTTGATTATAACCTTGAAAAGAGGTTGTTTAAAAAAATTACTATAGAATTTGTATAACTTTATTTTCTTTTGATAGTAGTTTTTAAGATTGGTTTTGGTTGATAGTAACTTCTAAATATTTAGAGTCACCTTTGTTAGACATTGGTGACCTTTGAAAACTTATTTTGGTTCTTTTATTTGATGTTTAGAGCATAAATTATGTAAATCTTATAAGAAAAAGGATTGAAGAAGGGTTTTGGTAGCAAAGGGAGTAATTAGGGCACCAATATAGATGAATGGAGATAGATGATGAAAATCTCGATTACTATTGGTCAAAAATCATGACCAATGGGCTTTGAAGAGGCTGTCTAAGGCCATATCAGAGATTAGGATTAGTTTTGAGAGCCATTTCAGCTTTGAAGGCTAAGATCAGCAAGTTTAGGTTTTTGGCTATGGTTTTGGTACAAATCTTATATGATTTGGAATTTATATGAAGGAGATATAGGTACTCTAAGTTAAGGTGTTGATTTGGGAGCTACTAATACTCTTTTTAACTTAACGTACATGTACATAGGACAATTGAGGATTGGCGACTGCGACTACAGAGAGTACTTTTGCAGCTACACTTTTTTAATACTGCTTGCTGGATTCCAATTTGAAGTGAAGGAATTATTGGATTTTGAAGTCAAGGCATGCAATCTAGGGGTAGTAAGTGACTAGATTTACTAGTGTTTTTTTTCTTGAGCTATATCTTAAGCAATTTGACAAGATTTTGGCTCAAAATTTCAGGAAATGTATAAATTCATGTTAGTTTATACATATATCCTTAAGAACGACATATCCTTCTTCAAATAGATAGCAAAGTATAACGTACTTGATATCACAACCTTAGAAGAGATTTCCAATGTTTGGTGATTTTATTAGAAGTAAGAACAATTATTGATGGTATTCCAAATGTTTTATTTGAATAAAGTTATGACTGCCTCAACAACGTTCAAATAACAAGGTGGTTTTTTTGTTCTAATATGGAATACTATTGATGATTAAGAAGACCTATCAATCATCTTTGAAGAAAATAAAGATCAAAATATGTGGCAAATACAGTTCGTTGCATCTTAGATTTTCTCAATATATAAAGAGCACTCCTTGTAGAACTTGTCCTTAAAAATGGATGTAATGTTACAATTATATATAGATAATCTAATAAATACCTATATGATTAAATAGGAGTAGATAAAAGAAGATAAAAAAAATAGGTTAATTTCATAAAACCTTCTAGAGAAGCTTCTTAAAAGCTCCATAGACACTACTTTGACTTTACATATATCTATAGTTGATTGGTAGGTTAAAAACTTAGTCAATAAGTTAACCATTTATTGATAGCTTGTAGAACAACCTAACTATGTGGCGCACATATAGAAAACTTGCCTTGCAAGTTGAGATACATGTCTTGCAAAGTCAACACATTTTGGAGGTCATATGGAACATCGCCATATAGCTCCTAGTTGAGAGTATATATGGAGGCAAGAATGAAGCCCTCTTCACTCTTGTTAATGCCTTTCTAGTCTTTAATCTTGTTTTAAGTCTTTCTAATCTTCTTATTTATGATAACAGCCATTCTAATTTAATATTATATTACCTTTGAGTGACTTTCTAGTTCTCTTCAATAATACGAAAGTATATTGAGGATTTTCTTCTGCATGCTATACTTATTAGTAGCTTACAAAATAAGCTAATTATGTAGCATCTATATGAAAAAAATTACCTTATAAGTTAAGATATGTGTCATGTAAATTCAACATGATTTGGAGGTCTTGTAGAATATCACCATATAGCTCCTATGTAGATAGTATATATAGACACAAGAATAAAGACTTCTTCACTCTTGTCAATTCTTATCTTGCTTTTAGTCTAGTTCAAAGAGTCTTTAGTTTTCTTAACTTTTGGTAATAGCTATTTCAATTTTTTATTAATATATATATATATATATTTTTTTTTATTTTTACTTTGTTATAATTCTTTGAAAAAGTCTCACTTATTTATTTGTTTTTATAAAGTTCTTGTCTTTGACATCTTGTGACTTGCATGTTGATTTCCTTGAAGATGATTGTTTGAAGATATACATAAGTAAAGAATTGAAAAAAAAGAACATTTAGGATAAACTGACTTTGACCATTTTTAGCCAACCATGCATTATAAAAGGATAATTGAACTTGTTGCAGTTGACGCCATTCACTTCTTCTATACCTACAAACACTTCTTGGACTATCCAAATGGATGGAATATTATTTATGCTTGTACTAGTCAATTCACACTACTCAAAAATAGTGTCAATTTTGAACATCGTTGTCAGATTCTTCAAAATGTAGAAAAGTTCTTTGCTCCTTTGAGCAAGGTGATGCACCAACCTTGTTCCATAAACAATTGCTTGCTGCTTACTGTCCTAATCATAGGCCAAGAAACTGAATGTTGAGTTGTCATCAGTAATAAATGTGATCATTAATTTCTTTGGCCATGCCATGGCTTAGAGGATCTTTACAATGTTAAAAAAGATCACCTTCTTTGCCAAAAGAGGAGCAAGGCCCTTTCAAATAAGAATCCTAGCTGCTACGGAAGCTAGGACCAAAGTGTGTGCAATTAAGATGATGATACAAAGTATCAAAACCATATATCACACCATTTAGCTTGCCCCAATTTCTCGCACAATAATTCTAATACTTTATATCCAAAATCATGGTGTACAAGCTCTACACTTGGCAATATCTCAAGATCAATTCTTTAAAAACTCAAAATTAATCACAAAAATTTACAATTAATACAACTTGTGCAACTTTTGTAAATCAAATGAAGAACAAACCACATACGGAATTATAACGACTAGCAATAAATTGAGCCATAAATCTTCATTATACAACATTAACAAGGTAAGAGCCAACTCCCAAATTGAAATTTGTTAAATGAGGTTGAAGAAGACTGATTCAGAAATGGGAGGCTAGGTATATGAACAAGGTATAGGAATGGCAAGAATAGAGATAGGGCATAGGAATGTAATGATGGTTTTGTAAGAATGAATTAATTTAGTAAAAATTTTGTAAAAATTTGGATTATTCTATCATTTCCTTATATATAATTATATATAATTTATATATAAATTATATTTATATATATATATATATATATATAAAATCAAAAGTATACAATCCAAACTATCATTCTTTTATATATATATATATATATATATATATATAAATACATAATTTCAAAAGCATATAATCCAAACTATCATTCCCTTATATATATATATATATATATATATAATATTTCAAAAGCATACAATCCAAACTCCATATTGTAAGGTTCCAGTTTTTTTTAATAATTGTAAAAGTAGATTTCATGTGCATTTTTTGGAGGTTTTTAAATTAATTGTTGAGAGTGCCCCTTCTTCGATGTGACACGTCACCCAGTTTACAACCCCGCTCTTCAACCCGTCCGCCGTAACCTGCGGCCAGGAACTTACTCCATCCGGTCGGGCCCCGCCCGGACCCGCGCACGGACATGACCCCACCACGTAAGCCCTAAATAAGGAATCCACAAACCCGATCAATCCCATCGTGAGGATGCCTCCAAGCGAGATCAAAGCCACAATTTCCATCGTCAAGAATCGAAGCTTCGAAATCGAGCAGTTGGGTATCGTCCCCAACTGTGGATTCGGAGGAAACTGCACCGAATTGGTGAGATTGTGCTTGAAACCTCTCTTACTGGACTGCAATGAAACCCTCTCCGGCGTGCCACAGAGTTTGCACAGGCACACGATGGGCGTTGCTGAGCTTGATTTCGATGACACCGAAGTTGCGGCGTCGCACACGTCGCCGCGGAAGTCGCGATTGTCGTCGCAATTCGGAAAGGTGTGGACCTGAGTCTCTGGATCTTGCTGTCGAGGCAGTTCTGGCTCGGATGGTTGGCTTTGTTGATGAGGTTGATGTGGGTTTTCATCCTGTTGGCTTTGTTCCTGGGGGTTTGGTTCGGTTTGCGGTGACATGCGTTCAGGTTGAGGTGCATCTGGAGTTTGTGTCGTCATGGGCAGTGTGTGCACCATTGAAGACAGCTTGGATGGCGTCCAAGTGTTCCTGTCCAGATGCATTTTGTGCCGAGTTGTCTCTCTTTGGAAGGTCTCAGACGGTCGGGTCGGATTTTCTGAGTGTTGAAGAGGGGGAACCCTTTGTTTCGGTTTTGGATTCAGCAGTTTCGCTTCATTTATGGCGTTCGCTATCATTTCTATAGCAATCTTGGTTATGCTTCGAGAAGGTTTAGTGGCTCGAAGTTGAAATAAGCTTGAATTAAGGTTGGATGGATGTGTGTTTGCTGCTGGGATGGGGCGTGTTTGCTTTTGAAACAGGTGGAGTGTGGAATCCGAGTTCCTGTTGTTCAAGACCCACAATGGAATTTCGTGTTTTTCATCCTTTTCGCCGCACTGTCCTATGGTCTCCATGGTCGAGGATTTTGATGCAAAACCACATGGATCAGCGCTTTGCCTCTTAGAATCTCTCGTTGGCGCCTTTTTCACGCCTTCGTGAGATGCACCAAAACATACAACTCGGTTTCTGATAGAATTTCGTTTAATCATCGGAGAGACTTGAGAATCTCTCGATTCCTGCAAGTCCCTGAACTTTGCAAATCCCGTGTTCTTGTCGTTGGTATGGGTGGTGAGTTTCCTTCTAACTGTCGCCATGTTACTGTGTCTACTTCTCATTATCGTTGTTGAGACTCCTCGCCCATACTTTTTGGCATGTACTTTGTCCTTTCGTTCATGGAGTGCATAAAAAGGCAAAGCATAATATGGGTCATTTGATGCACACCGAGATTCTTCGCATTCAGATCTACTCCCACATTTGCTTGCAGTGGCAAGTTCATTAAGTCGAAAATCTTGAATTATCATCCTCCGCCCCGAATTTATAGATTTTGAATTCGGTTGTCTGATATTTCTTCTCTTGCTTCCAGCTGTGATATTGTATGCTGAGTACGCAGGCTTTCCAAAACTATGGCGTGGCTCATCATTCCTATGTCCGCCTCGCAAGTCAACAAGACCGCCTTTGAGGCTTGGAGAACATTCTCTGTACCGAAGTTCGACATTCCACGCACCAAATGTCGACCCATTCATGTTGTTATCCCTTGCTAAGCCGAACATTGGACGAGACGCTTTTCCTCCCGGTAATGATGGGCAGTACTCAACATTGTTATGTTTCGACCTATACATTGGCCCGCAGCAATCACATACCTCCCATCAACGTGTTTATGTCTCCGCTAGTAGCACCCGGACGAACCTGGAAAGATAAGCCACGAAATGTTTTTCTCCTCAACAACGAGATAATGGCAAAAGTCCTCGTTGCACACTCATTGTCCTCGAGGTACAACAGTGCTGCCTTTGCCGTTTTTTTTGGACAAAACATGATGTTCTTTCTTCCCTTAAAACCAGCTACTCAAAAACAGTCTTCATTAGGTCACATGGTCGACCTGAATGTAGGACTGGATAATCCTGATCATTGAGCTCCTCAACGTCTGCAAGTGAAGAGAGCATGCAGTGGTTTAAATCATGTCTCAGACTGTAATTGTCTGCATGTGTCGTTGACAGCGAAGACGCAATGTACGTACACTCTGATCTCTTAGTCATAAGCCCAGCATCGATGTTTCACTTTCCGAGGAGATGAAATGTACTATTTGGGCAGAAATTTACACTTTACGACGCCAGAACCTTTACAAGAGCACAGAGGCGAAGTTGATGCCTGAACAGCACCCTCATATCTTTATCCCTTATTTCACCGAACATTCTTCGGTGAAAGTCTCTATGAAACGCAGCATGGAATTGGGATTGTGAGTAGTAGAAGAGAACATTGCTTCAGTTGGGGGATGAGGAGATTTGTGGTGCCTCTTCAGCAATCAGGCAGTTAAAATCTCTGAATAATGTGTCAACGCTTGCCATGCCCCCAATCAGGAAGTTTTCCCGCACAGGAGAAATCCTAAAACTACGAGTTTGGAATTGGTTAGATCAGCCGTTGGTTTAGTTTTTAATTTTGATTATAAATTAATTTGTTTATTTATTTATTCATTTTCAGATATTTGGTTATAACATCTAAAAAGGAGTAAAAATAATAAGTAAAAAATAAAAATGCGGAAAGTTCTTGCAGACAGTGCTAATTACTTCTCTGTAACATTTTCCCAATTTTTTGGCAACCATTATAAATGTTCACTAAACCCTTTTTAAACTAATATCCTTGGGATTGGGTCGATGATATTAGTTTATGGAGGTTATTAGTTTACACAATATTGCATGAAGGTATTACAAACTGCCCTGGAACCTGCTAGAACAACATGGAAGGTTATGGAGGTAGGTAGAAGGTCATGGAATATTGGGGAAGGTGACAGGACCTTCTAGAGCATGGCAGAGGATTAAAGAAGCAAGTAGAAGATCATATAATATGGTAGAAAAGAATAGAATCTTACAGAACTGAATGGAAGGTTGAGGAAAGCTCAAGCAAGGTTTCAGTTTAGGTTTTTAGATTAGCTTATATAGTAGAGCTATATTTGGAGACTCCCAAAATAGCCCCCTTTGCCTTGAAAATGAATTGCAAATCATGTCTTTTGTCCTTTTTTCAAGAAGCAAGAATAGAACAATATTGCAAAAAAGAAGTTGTTACACAACTGTAATGGACAAGGTCTACATAGCTCTCTATCAATATAAAAAAGACAATTCTTAGTTTTCATAGAAAGCTCCAATCAAATGGCTCAAAGACAACTACAACATCAAGGTTAGCCAAGCTACCATCTCTACTATGTTGGAATGGTTTGATTAACTTCTTTCTAGGTCTACTAATAACACCAATCTTAATGTCAAGTCCTAGCAAACTATCAAATACTTCAAGATGGAGTTTGCACTTATCAAGTGGTTCAATGCAAACCAAGAGTGTTCAAACCTAAGTCGTAAGCTTGTCAAAGAGAGTGCCATACAAATTTAGGCAAGTTTTACTCCAATCACAAGTCCTTCAATTTTTTGAGTGGTTGGCTAAAAGCGTTCAATTTTTACTATGGCATCTAATTTCATTGCCGCTTTAATGAGAGTGGCTGTGTAAACATGGCTGCTCTTACTAATGTCCTTCCAACTATCTATAATATTATCAATCAATACACACAGAAAGATATTTATAATATGGACAAAACTTACATATTCTACCTGATGCATATAAGTTAAGATTTTTTCTATAAAATATTGTACATGTCTAAATATGTTTTAATTTAGTTATTTTTTTTTAAGCAAATGACTTTCTTCTAAGTAAATAGCTTAAGAAATACAAGCAAAATAAATAACAGATTATTCTTATCATCTATTGCAATAGTGATAGTAGTAACAAATTTCTACTATGGATGATTTAAAAATATAAAAATCCATGTTGTTTTAAGAATACCAATATAAACATATTTAAATTCTAATATTAGAAAAAAATCTATTGCTTAGATGTTGCAAAATATCTTCTTGGAATAGCTTAAGGGATTTGATCTCCATATTTTAAGGTACAATATCATCATTAACATTGATAACTTTAGTAGCTACATCTCGCTTATTCAACTTTCTAATCACATCCAATTAAGAAACATTAAGATTTTCTACCTCCTTCTAAACATCACATCTAAGATCTATCATTATCATACTATGATTATCCGTAATTTTAAGGCATAATACTATTGTTGCTTCTATTTTTATTTTATTTTTTTGTAACAATTGGAAGACAATGTAGGTGATCTAATAAAGATCAATAACTTGTACTTCATTTAGATGGTCATTCCAACTTGAAGGTTTGAAATGAAGCAAAAAATAATTACAAATTACTTCTAATATTACAAAATTCCTTTGACAAAAGAGCCAATGGTGGATGTTGGGAAGGACTATCTTGTAGATTAAGAAGTCATTTAAGACTTCAAGTTACAAATGTGCAAGTTCCATTATTACAACCTAATGGATATTAAAAACCTATTAAACTACTTAGAGAAGCAAATTGTTGCTTATACACTAAATGTGGATAATGTCATTAAAGATCAATTCTAAAAGTGCTTTGACCACATTAAGGTCAATGAAGATGAAGGAAGTGACAATTAAGAATTCTATATAATAAGTGTTACCAAAACATATAAGATGATTGAAATGTTGAAAAAAATTTGGATGTAGGAAGATAATTCTAACATTCCATTTCTTGCTATCATAAAAGATGAAAGACAATATAACTATAACTAAGGCAAATCAATTCGTATAAATAAAAATTAATATTTTTTCTAACATATTTAATTTTATTAATTTTTTGAAACTTTCTTTTATTTTTTATTTGTTATTTTTTTAATGCTATACATAACTTATATTAATTTATAAAATTTATAGAACTATTTTAAAAAATATTAAATATCAAATTATAGATATTTATTAAATTAAATATAAGATCTATAGCGGGATTAATATCTATATATTAGTTGAGAAAGGACATTAGTATCATGGACATACATATTTATCAAGATAAAAAGTGCTAATTAAAAAATAAATATACATAGATTTGATGTTATCTTGTAGTGTAGCTTCTTAGAAGCTTCATAGATGTGTATTTATCTTTATATATATTTATAATTAATTGATAAGATAGAAACTTGGCCAACAAATTATTCATGTGTTGTACATGTAGGTATCATGTGGTATAAGCTAACAATGTGGTGCTCATATAGAAAACTTACCTTACAAGTAAAGATATGTGTCTTTTAAATTAGACATGTGTTTGAGGTCCTATAGAACATTGCCACATAGTTCCTAGTTGATAGTATATATGTAGGCCAAAATAAATCCTTCTTCATTCTTATCAATATCTTTTTAGTCTTTAATCTTATTTCAAGACTTTTTAGTCATCTTGTCTTTGGGAATAGTTATCTTTTAGTTCTTTGAGATTTATATCTTTAAAAAGAGTGCTAATTTATTATCCTTGTTTTGTATTAAAAATGAGAAGATTAGCCCACTTCTATTGTTGTATTTTGAAGTCCACTATCCACCTTTAAACTCACTTTTAATTTTTTAACACTAATTTTTTTTAAAGGTATTACTTATTATAAAAATCCTCAAAATACTATATTTAAGATTAAATCTTTTTTAATATCCTAATGAATTCACTCAAGTATAATTTATAAGTGTACTTTTCTTTGAAAATACTCTCTTGGTTTGTACCTTTGATAGAAATAAATTCTTATCTCTTTTATGACTTGAATTTATTTTTAAAAGTATTTATAGCTACTTTTTAAAAAAATAATTGAGAAAAGCTAGCAAAGATCAAACTTATATTTTTACAACAAGTATCTTATTCAATTACTTTATGTGCTTTAGAATTCCAAAATCTTGCTTGCAATATAAATTGGAATGATAAAGTCCTTATCAATGAATTTTGATATAGGTTAAAAGATAACATCAAAGATTTATTATTGTCAATATTAAAAGCAGATTCATTAGAAAAATTTATTACTTAAGTCATTGCATGCGGCAATTGATTTTTTGAAAGATACCAAGAACAAATATTTGGTTAAAGAGGAAAAAATCAAGATATAACGACAACCTCTAAGTTCACATAAGTTTATTCATAAAGGTTGGAACCAATGTAAAATGACTTAATATGTTTTAAGCATCTTATTGAGTGTGAGTGTAAAATTTATTCCTCAACCCAATTACAAGATGGCCTCAATTAGCAGTTGCTTGTAATAA